GGGTGGATGGAGGTTCGACAGGGCACAACGACTGAGACTGAAGAGTTTTCTCAACACTTTCACACTGTGTATGTAATTAGATCATCAGAGCCACCTGTCTAATTTACCATGCTAGCTAATTAGAAGTACACATTCAATTTATTTTAATCAGACAAAGTGGCAGCTATTTGCTGCCATTAAAGAAACCCTTTCTCTATCAAGTGTCAGGTTTGTTTGTGTAAAATTCCCCGTAAGCAGTCTAAATAAATGACGAGAAAAAAAGAAAAATAAAACACTTCTGGAAAGTGATATTTACAAAAAAATTCAAAAGTGAAAGTGAAAGTGACAGGAGAAAATCCGTCCAGGTCAACCACCCAAACATCAATAACGGGAACCTTATACAGCGCTTCCCTATACCCGTCGAACTCCCGCAGGCACAAAGAAATTACGGAGGCTATCACTTATCACCTGACCAAAGATATGGCTCCCATCAACACTGTGCAAAACGAGGGATTTAGGAAAATGATCAACACCCTAGACAAACGCTACACAGTGCCGTCCCGCAACTATTTTTCTATTGTTGCACTACCTGCTCTATACACGCGTCGAGCAACGGTGGAGACGGAATTTCAAGCAGTACAACATTTTGCGGCAACAACAAAACGTGAGACATTTGTTGTTTTTATGTTTATTTATTGTTTTTATGTTCAGTCTCAACTGTTACGAAGTTGATGTGCAGTTAATAAGTGCAATAAATATTTATATTGGAAAAGAAAATCGTGAGAGAATCGTGATCTCAATTCTAAGCAAAAAAATCGTGATTCTCATTTTATGCAAAATCGTGCAGCCCTAGTGGCACTGTAGGACAAACGTTTCAGTCTGCTGCGAGATATCAAATACAATACAGCATCGTACTAATGTTAAGTTAACATCACTATACCCATGGTATCATGATACCTGCGAAACAATATGTTGCAAGACAATCACCTGTGTCAAATCATTATATATGTTTCATTGAACGCAAAAAATAACTCTAAAGAGAATAAAAGCAAAAATGTATTATTACTTAGTACCAGTTCTTGATAATTGTGATACAATACTGTATATTGGCATATCAATGTATTATCCCATCCCTAATACACATAGGTAATGGACAGTGATCCATCTGACAGGATCTGACAGCAAAGCCAAAGACACTGTATACAGATAAGACAGCGATATCTCTAGGTAGGCTTGTGCTAAAGCCTATCCCGATTACACTGATCAGAGTAGTCGCCCCCTGACGGACAATAAAAATAAATTCAGGATTGGTCTTTACTTTTCAGACCAACACGTTCCATCCACCTTTACATACACATTATAGCTTTACAAACTAGGGCTGTGCTACATCATATTGTCCACAATAATATCATTATAAATGTTTGCACGATATGAAAGTATCTTATCAGGATATCATGGCTATAGCAACACAAGAGATTTCACTTGTCATGTTTGCATAGTAAGCTAACGATTAATAAGACGATGTCAGAGGAATTGGTGCGCAAATTATCATCACTCACAGATCAGTGCTGTCGCTCTCTATACACAGTTCGCACGATTGCAAAGTGAAAGCAAAAAACAAGCGCAAATTCAAACGCGATTTCAATATGTCACATATTGACAGTGGCTCACCGATGCCAATGACATAATTACCCAGCTACATTTCTGAAAGAATGCAAAAGCATTGACATATATTTTTCCTTCCTACAATAGCCCGACGGGCAGGGTAGCCCGTCTGAAAAAAATCGCTAGCCCCAGGACGTCGGGCTAGCGATATTGCAAGCCCTGTATCTGATTGAGGAATCACTCATCTTTGGAAAAGAGAGTTTATTACAGAGAAATGCTCTTTCCAAAATAAAAGCTATACTATCCGCTTCTTCTGGGCTATATTCTCAGCAGCATAAACTTCAGGCCAAGGAGAATCATGTGCTAACGGCTGTCTAAATGACTCGGTAAAGTTTGTAGCATGCGTCTGTTGTTTTTGTCTTTCTGTCTGCACTAGGATGATGTCGGCGTAAATGTGCAGTCATATTCGTTGTGTTCCCACTAGTGCTTCAGGTTAATCTCGTTAAAATGACCTTAACGCCATAACAGGCAAATCTCCGTTAACGAGCACGCCATCGCTGTGTGGGGCTAGACGGCTCAACACGTTAACGAGCTAACTGCGCTAACACAGTAGTTCCCACCCATGTAATTGAGCATTGCATGGCACATCCAACATACTGTTTTACTTTTGTCCATGACTCGCTTACCTTCAGGGTCATACTTCACATGAAAACCAAAATAGTTCCAAACGCCAGATCTGAATGAGTGGGGGAGGTCTCATTTGCATGTGAACGAGCTTAGCTTCTGTCTGCTAGCTTGCCTGCCTTGCTATGCTGCTTGTGAGCGCTAGGAATCTGCATGACTCTCGCCAGGTGCACTGCACCTAGGCGGAGTAGTCGAACGCAGATCACTGAGCGCTCAACACAGACAGCATCGTCAGAAGGAAAGTTGATAAAATAAATTAAAATTGTATTGTTCGATACATATGCGTACCGAACCGAAAGCACTGTATCGAACGGTTCAATATCGATACGAGTATCGTTGCACCCCTAAGTATATATATATTTCCCTTATGCTCAGTCACTTATTATATTGCTGTGTCACTATTATTGCACTATAATGCTGCTGGTGGCACCTTGTTTCAGAAGATTCACACTTTAAGTTGGTTAGACTGTTATCAATGAGAGCAGTTCATTGGAAAAGAGCCTAAACATGCATGTATTGCAAAAATGTAAATCTGAAATAAATACAAGGGTTTCCAGCATAACCTTTAAAACTTCCATTCATTCATTATAAAATTGTCTTACATCATTCCATTTACAGTAGTGCAAATTTAACCAAGAAGCTGTCATCATCTGCACATTTCCAGTGCCAGACAAACATGCAAATTGGAGTACGACTGGTCTTTAATCACACAAAAAGAATCCAAGTTCGAGTTGCTTCTCACAGGAAGCAAAAGAAATGCAGGAAAAGGGGAGCAAATTAATAAACGACTTTAGTTTGTTAAAGGGGTACACACCGAGCTCTTTAAGGCGGGTAGAGCTTAGTAAGGATCCCTGACCGAAGATGATAAAAATGGTGTGCAAGTCCTCCATGTATCACTGAAAGGAGCGCTTACTGGTCTCAAAAGAGGTGATGGACGAGTACCGAGCCTTGAAAGCCACTTTTAACAGCAGAGATGCGACTCATGAGTAACAGCAGCTGCTATAAATAATGTGAGGCATATTGAATTGTGATCAAAAGAAGCGTTGCGTGGAAAGGCACGCAGAGTGGAAGGAAGACCACGCAGAGAGATGGATGATTCAAGAGGGGAGAAAGCTCAGAATGCAAAAATATTCATGCACGGAAGGAAGTAGGAGAAAGGCAATGTGCAAAGGTGGGCTACAGGGAAGGAAGCAGGGACGAGGCAGCCAATAAGACGAGTGCAACTCAATAATAAAGGCAAAATCAGAGGCACTATGTGTCTCCTGTGTGCTTTGTAGGTTTATCTGGGCTTCATTTGATGGGGTGATATTTATCATTCAGAATGAGTTTCCCCTTTATCACCTAATGATACCCAACCAAATCTAATAATGAGAACGATGATGATGATAATGGGGACTGCAAATTGTCTAACAGCCAGTGGCATGCAGATAAAGGAAGCAGAGAGCCACGCTGCGTAATTAGACGCTGCGAGTAATTGCAAACCTCAGGCCTGTGGTGGGGGAGGAGGAGCTACAGCAGCAATGCATCACCAAAACCACCAAAAGCTTTAAGATCTTTGACTTCAAGGGGCACTTAAGCCGAGTGCCACCTCTGTTCTTTCTAATGGCGAGCGAGCAAGGGGAAGTGTTGAAGAAAAAATCAATAAATCACATTATCATTAGCGCCGGGCAGGCTGAAGTAATTTCATTGGAATAGCAATTTGTCTAAAGCTACAGTTGGCTTTGTTTCTTGCTCTGGACTGGTAAAAAAAACTTTTCTTAAACAAAGACTCTGGGAGCATGCTCAGGGTGTTTAATTAGGAGCAGGGCTTTTCTCCTCATGGTATATAAATACGAATATTCAATATTAGATAATATTATAAAGTGGAATGATGATCCTTCCAAATACAAGACAAAATCTTTTAAAGGTAAATATTGTGGAGAGACGAGATGCAATCAGAAAACTTGCTGTCAAAATAAATACTGATCACCAGGCAGTGAGTGTGAAGGCCCTGGTGTGTTGGTGGCTTTGTACAATGCCGGTAGTATCATTTTCACACAGTCAAATTCATTTATGCTCACTGTTATGGCTCAGGTAGCCGCTGCAATATTCTCCTTAATCATAGGCGTCGCCACTCAGGCAATACTGCCACATCAGCCATGATGCAGAAGGAGAAATCAAAACTTTTTCAGGAATTCTGTAAAAGGAGCTATTAAACCCAACACTCGTGTCTTCAACCCAGCTGTGGTGGCGGCGGCACGGCACGCCAGGTTACAAAAACCCAGAGGTGCACCACCTGCAGAAAAGCAGCTAGCTACCAATAACGCCCATGATGTCAATTTTGTAGTATGGTGCTGTTCACAAGGTAAATATTTAATGGCTTTAAGGGTCCATGCGGCTGTCCGTGTGTCTGCCAGTTTTTTTGTGACACCGTGGAAAATCTCCACTACAAGGCACAAACTATACATGAACTCTAGGTAGCCGACTACAAGGAGACTTAAAAGAAATATAACGGCTTACAGTTACTCAGGTGCTTTACTTTTCAAAGTTGAACTTAGAACAAAGTATGTTCGACATCTATAGTTTTGCTACCTGGTAGAATGAAATTGATTTATATCGTATCTACACTGATTTTGTTAGCTCCATTCCCTCCACATTTTCTTAATTCAGAATTTTTTTTATTGAAATTTCTGAGACCCCACCCCTTTTGCGCCCCCTTATTTCAAAAACCTGAAAACGCCCCTGAAACCTACCGAGCCCCAATCCAACGATGAGCCTACCCGCCAGGAGCACCTCTTTACCGGGAGCGCTGCTAAGGACGATCCCCCCGACGGCGAAGAAGAAGCTGGCGAGCAGTATGCACACTCTGCGCCCGAACACCCCGTTGAGAAAGCCGCCCAGCAGGGCGGAGAGGGCGGCTGCGGCCACAGTACTTGATATGAGCACCTCCTGCCACAGGGCGCTCAGGTCCAGCTCCCGCTTCAATAGGAGCATCGCCCCGGAGATCACCCCGGTGTCATAGCCGAAAAGGAAGCCCCCCAGGGCGGAGAAGATGGCCAGGACGTAGACGAAACCAGGTGTAACATCCTGCTGAAACTGCTTGCGGGCAGCTCTCTCCAGGTCTCCAGTGGACGAGGAGGAGGGGGCTGATGGGGCACCAGCGGCGGCGGAAGCTCCAGTGGAGGCGCCCTGGCTGCTGATGCTGGCGTTGGACGGAGCCTTGATGAGACTGCGCTCACCTCCGTCGTTCACTTTCTTCCACCTCTCGCCCATCAGGTTGTTCATACTCCGGAGGTTGTAGTCATGGTCGGCCTGCCTTCGCGACATATGGGAACTACAACACAGGACAGGGCTGCTGAGTTGTATTTGAAGCGTCTGACAACAAAACAAACACACACGCCCACCCAACTAACAGGCCTACCCCCCCACTACACTCAGCTTAGACTTAAAGTCACGCTGACTGTCCTAAGACACTTCCAAATAAAAAAAAGAAGCCCGCTGCTGAGTAAAGTTGTGCTCCAGCCTTGTTTATCCGCGCATGACATCCCTGTGGTCCTGATGGGAGAGTTGGAGAAGAGTAGGGTAGGAAAGGTGAGATAGGAGGAGTGTAGTGGATCACATCGTCACTACCAGCGTCGGCGTGACGCAAAGAAATGTTGTTTTGGAAGCGTGGAGCGAAGACTTATCAGCACCATCTTTTATGGGGAATATGCGGTCTGCAGTTGTTAACTGACCAAATCAGGCGGATTAATATGCTCGTTAATACACATCAAAGATGTGTAAATGTCTGCTGTATAATTTCATTTGATGGTGATGCTTAAGCCTCGTGAAAAAACACTTTTTTTGTGGGGCTAAAGCATAAAATCATAAAAATAAGAAAAACCTTTGTTAACTAAAAGATATAAAAACCGGAATGTTGTTGCTTTAAACATTTTCAACACGTTTTACTCTTACGACAGGCTGCCTCTGGCAAAACTGGAAAACGGCTTCCCCCTACTGGCAGTAGCTTTGTATTACAGGTGGAAGAACTCCAAGCGCAGACAGTCGTACAATGATGTTGTACATGTCAGCTGCTATCCACTTTTATGGATTATAGTATCTGTACTGCTGATTAGCTTTAACACCGCCACAAAGCAAGCAGAGTATATTTCAGTGCTCTTAAAATTAAGTAGGATCAGCTGATTTTTAATGAATCAACTCTGTAACTATTAAAATATTTACATTTGCACAATTTCTGATTCACTTTAAATGTTGATTGTTGTTTAAAAACTATTTGATTGATCTAAATTAATCTATTTTGGCAATACATGTGTCATAATCTGTCTGCTTGAAGCTAAAAAAAAAGGTTTATCAGTGACCCATACCAACCAGTTTATCTTCTCCATACACTCAAACCCTATAATTGTCCTTCACCACTGATGAAACATAGCTGCAGTGTACAGAATGGCATAGCAGTTAAAGCATTCATGAGTTCAGAGGATCAATACATGGACAACGGTGTCCCTGAAGAATTAACATGGCCTGAAAATGACTTGTGATTGAACCGATTACAGAAGAAGATCAATAATGAGACAGGGTTTCCATGCATATACAATAGTTACATAGAACAAACCAAGAAATGTGTCTTTTAGGGAATTTACCTTTTTGTCCCCAGCTAATTGAGCCTTGAGGCTCAATTAATCTCAGAGCTGAATTAGGCTGCTGACCCCTGCCATAGATGATGCCACTTTATAGAATAGTTAGGCTACATCATATCAAATTAACCAATTACCTTCTAGTGACAGAATATTTAATGAGCACATTTTCTCTGAAAGTTAAAATAATTAGCATGACTAATCGGAAACTCAAAAGAAGCACCATAAGTAATACCAATTTTGAATTCAGCACCAAATCACAAGAACAGTAGACCCCAAAATAATACATACAGAGAAAAACCCAACAATCGTATGACCCCCTATGAGCAAGCACTTTGGCGACATCGGGAAGGAAAAACTCCCTTTTAACAGGAAGAAACCTCCGGCAGAACCAGGCTCAGGGAGGGGCGGGGCCATCTGCTGCGACTGGTTGGGATGAGAGAAGGAGGACAGGATAAAAGACATGCTGTGGAAGAGAGACAGAGGTTAATAACAGATATGATTCAGTGCAGAGAGGTCTATGCGATGAGTGAGAAAAGTGACTGAAGAAGAAATACTCAATGCATCATGGGAATCCCCCAGCAGCCTACACCTATTGCAGCATAACTAAGGGAGGATTCAGGGTCACCTGATCCAGCCCTAACTATATGCTTTAGCAAAACGGAAAGTTTTAAGCCACATCTTAAAAGTAGAGATAGTGTCTGTCTCCTGAATCCAAACTGGAAGCTGGTTCCACAGAAGAGGGGCCTGAAAACTGAAGGCTCTGCCTCCCATTCTACTTTTAAATACTCTAGGAACAACAAGTAGGCCTGCAGTGTGAGAGCGAAGTGCTCTAATAGGGTGATATGGTACTACAAGGTCATTAAGATAAGATGGGGCCTGATTATTTAAGACCTTGTATGTGAGGAGCAGGATTTTGAATTCTGGATTCAACAGGAAGTACTAAAAGCATGAACTAGTTTTTCAGCGTCACTCTGAGACAGGATATTTCTAATTTTGAGATGTTGTGCAAATAGAAGAAAGCAGTCTTACATATTTGTTTAATATGTGCATTGAAGGACATATCCTGGTCAAAAATGACTCCAAGGTTCCTCAAACCATTACTGGAGGCCAAGGTAATGCCATCCAGAGTAAGAATCTGCTTAGATACCATATTTCTAAGATTTTCAGGGCCGAGTACAATAACCTCAGTTTTATCTGAATTAAGAAGCAGAAAGTTAGCAGCCATCCAGGTCTTTGTGTCTTTAAGACATTCCTGCAGTTGAACTAATTGGTGTGTGTTATCTGGCTTCATGGATAGATAGAGCTGGGTGTCATCAGCATAGCAGTGAAAATATATGCTATGTCTTCTGATGAGGTGAAGCCAAAGGGAAGACATGCTTCACCATATTTTCTAGTCTTTGGCTTTGAAATGAAGTTGGTTTAGAAACATATTTGGCGATGCTTCATCTCCTGCTTTGCGTTTGCGTGGGAGCCCCGCCAAAAACCTGTCAATTATGCTAGCAGTGTCCAAGCACTGCTCCCCCCCTGCAATGGCTCAGTGGGCCCCACACTTTGGGAACCTCTGTATTAGATAGATATGATACAAACCACTGCAGCGCAGTACCTGTAATCCTCTAACCATTCTAATAGAATTTTATGGTCAACAGCATTGAAAGGTGCACTGAGGTCTAACAGGACAAGCACAGAGATGAGTCCACTGTCAGAGGCCACAAGAAGATCATTTGTAACCTTCACTAAATCTGTACTTTGATGAGCTCTGAAACCTGACTGAAACTCTTCAAATAAGGCATTTCTCTGCAGACAATCTGTTTGACAACTACTCATTCTATAATTTTTGACATGAAAGGAAGGTTGGAGATTGGCCTATAATTAGCTAAGCAATTTAGTATTATATGGACAAAACCCTACACATTGTAACGTGTCATAATGACTTAAGAATGGAGACAAAGAAACCATGAAAACAAACCCTACTCAACACCATCAATCTTATTATTTAAATACCAGAATGATTGGTTTTGGTAATGGTTATTAAGGAGAAAATATTAGATTAAGATGTGCACAAACGAGTACCCTGAGTTGTGCACCTTCCTTTCATTATTTACAACTCTGCTTCTCCTCTTTCTTCACTGTGTTTCCATTTGATCTAACCAGTGCACTGTTTGCTTCCAGCAGCAAGAAATGCAGATGACAAATCGCGATGGGCTGTCACATTGCCAAGCCTCAGGTGGCAGCAGAAAATGGAGGCACATGTCCTGATTTAAAGTATCTTTTCTCTGGGTATTTATTTATTTATTTAGTATAATTGAGAAATTTCCTTCTTTGACCAAGTCTTAATTAAAAAGTTTAACTGGTGAGATCAAAAATACAAACAGCAAAGAGTAAAAAGGTGTTTGACAAAGATAACACAAATAAACACAAAATGCATTTTCTAAATAAATGTGTTTATCATGAAAGTGAAAAAAAAATCAAACCTTTAAGGAAAAAACAGTAATTTTTTCACACAGGTAGCGCTGTGTTTTGAAGAGTTCAGGTCTGATGGTGAGGACTTGGTCTTCTCGGCATTCAGGAACAGATTCATAACACTGCACCAGTCCACCAATTAATTCACTTCCTCTCTGTAGGACAGGTCGTTATTGTCCCACTGTTATGTCATCTGATGATGTGATGCACGTGTCAGCAACGTGAACAGCAGTGGGCTCAGGACACAGCCCTGAGGGAAGCTGATGAACAGGGAGATGGAACTGGAGATGCTGTTTCCCACTTTCGCTGAACTCAGTTGGTGGGGAAAGTCCAAGCTGGTTTCAGTACATTCGCTCAGCCACGTTAAGATTCAGTGCTACTGAATTTTCATTGCTTGATGTCTGGCTTTTGAGGATCTTTTGATCTATTCCACTTTGTTAGGCAGGTCGTGTTTAAGAGATTTCTTGACTGAGACCAGCTGTGTCAGTTATCGGGTCTTTCTCCTTTTAGTAATAAACACCTTCATTTACAAACTACATTTTGTGCTTACTTGTATTATTTTTGTCTACTATTTAATTCTGTTTGATGATCTGAAACATTTAAGTGTGACAAACATGCAAAGAATATAGAAATCAGGAAGGGGGCAAACACTTTTTCACACCACTGTATATGGTATTTGCACTAGAATGGATAGGCTAGCTCAAGTAAAGTTATAGAATTACAGGAACAAAAGGAAAGAATGAAGAGAACTCTATCCCCAGTCTTTGTGTGAGGATTTTTCAAAAAGAGTAAAACAGGAAAGAGACCGTAGTATTTTGAACAACCTTTTAAGCCAAGTGGCCTGGGTACCTGCAAACAGCAGAGGTGTTATTAACAGCAATTATAAGCGATCAAGAATACATTTAAATCCAGATTACCAAGTTCCAGGATCATGTGCAGATGAGGCATTGTGACTTGTCATTACATGAAAGCACAGGTCTAATACGTAGTGGCTGTGTTTGGTTTTCAAAGGAACAAAGCTAGTCAGTGTTCCTGGTCCCACCTGTGATGAGTATGCTGTGCATATGCTAACTTGGCTAAAGCACTTAATGGAGAAGAGTGCACATTCAAAAAAAAACCCCAAAACAAACAACTTCTGCAGTTCTAACTAACTCACTAAGTACAACAGGAAGTAACTAAAAGAAAAATATATTTACCACTGAATAGTTTTGCATCCCTGCAAAACACTGGCAACCTTTTAAGAGTGTGCACTGCCTTTCACATTCTACCTGCTGGGATAAGAAAGTGACTAGACTTCTTTAAGTCCACATGACCCAAGGTGTGAAAAACGTGTGGGTCATTACCACTAGAGGTATCAGGTTAAAACCACTGTGGGACCTTGCCTCACCCTATTACGTGACCTATTGAGGTCATCTGATGCAAGATCTGATGGGCATCTCTGTGATTCTGTGGTGCTTTCCCTCCGATCTAGCAATGAAAAATAATTAACTACATCCTGGTTCATGCACTCTCATCAGTTACCAGCGCTCACTTTTCATTCTA